GTCCTAAACTCAAGTTCTTCCCAGGGCATCCCATTGCCCTGAAAAGTTAGCGATGATGACAATTTTGAACTGTCCTATCACATCCTGCATGTGTGTGGCATTTACAAATCTCTTACTGCTTGTTATTTTCATGGCTCAGTCCCTGGCACAGGGATGGTTATTTGCGTAGCACAATTGTTGTTATTGTGCCGCCTCACATATTCTTTCTGCCCTGGGCAAACGCGAACAATGATGGACTATATTTATGAAACCAGCAGCTTAGAAGGATGAGCTTCAGATTACCATAAGAATTGTTGTAAGATTTTAAAATATAGTTTAGGACCATCTATACGGAAAGCCCATCTCTCAAAGTCTCATGCAAATCAACTGTCTCTTTGTGTATTTGGAGAGTTCCTCATTTTTTTTTTTCATAGTCTCTATCACCTCACATTTCTGAACTTTCTAGATGCTGATATTACAAAAACACAGTGTTCATGAAGCGTTGATATGACAGTTGCCTGTAAAAGCTGGAAAATAAGAAAAATAAAAGTAGTCTTGATTTCCTTTAAGGATGGATTGGGGAGGGGGGTTGGAGTTAGAGTAGGATAGAAAGATGGTTGGTGACAAAACTGTTTATGATTTAAGGTATCCTCTTTAGGCTCATCCTGGGTTTAGGTTTATCGTAAATCCAGAGCCTCATCTTCAGCTTCCCATGTTCAAGGCACCATTTTAACAAGTTTTCTTGGGTGGTGATTAATATCTGCAGGACACCAGCAACACACCCTAGGAAAAAGCGCATTTGAGTCAGAAGACCTGTGTATAATTCCCAGCGTTGTCATTATGAATTTGGACAAATTCCTCTTCTGTTAAAAAAAGATTAAAAATAACCCTTGTAGAGCTGTTTTGAGGAATAAATGAAATAATGCACATTAAAACAGCAATTTGCCTGGGTGCAGTGGCTCACACCTATAATCCCAGCACTTTGGAAGGCCAAGGCAGGAGGATGGCTTGAGCCCAGGAATTCAAGATCAGCCTGGGCAACACAGCAAGACACTGTCTCAAATTAAATAAATAAATAAATAAAACAAAAAAAAAGAAAACAGCAATTGTTGTCTATTAGTATTCAGATTTAAGTCATCAGATACAACTTTATTTACCTAGGGAACATCTACTTTTTCAATGACTGAGATATGTCAGTTGTTCAAAGCACCCCCATTCTTATTTATTTATTTATTTTTATTTGATTGGTAAAAAAAAAAAAAGAGAGACGAGGTCTCACTATGTTGCCCAGGCTGGTCTTGAACTCCTGGGCTCATGGAATCCTCCTGCCTCGGCCTTCCAGAGTGCTAGAATTACAGGTGTGAGCCACCTGGTCTGGTCTGGCACCCCTATTTATGTAACTAATATATCTGTCAAACCAACTTAATTGTTGGAGGGTTGCCTGAAGGGTGGAGAGTTAAATAGTGATCTTGAAGAATGGTATCTATAGCTACTACTTATTGAACATCTAGTCCAGGCCAGTACCTTTGATAGGCCATTATACATGAGCTCTAATCCTTAAACCATCCATATAAGGTAGATATTACTACCTTCAATGTTATAATGAGGAAAATGAGGCTTAGTGACCCAGAGACGTTAAGTTGTCCTAGAAAAAAACAGATAAATTCTTCTTGTGTGCTCCATGCAGCTCATTCTTGTTATAATGAGTTAGATTATAACATATATTCGATTGCTACATTTTCCTCTCCTAAAATAGATTTGGGATATGACCCAGTGCTCTGATGAGATCTGGGACACACATTTGCAAATTGTCATTGGTTTGTCATTTAAAAAAAAAAAAAAAACCTCTCTCAGAAGTTCTAGGCCTTTTTTGGGAGTTTGGCCTACTCTCTTCCCTATAGACATGCTCCCATCCCCCATTACATGTCATTAATTTAAACCAGAACCTACGAATGAGGAAAGAAGCCACTACAAATTATTGGTAGTCTGGAGGGGGATGTGCGGCAATAACCCTATAAAGATTTTAAGGGAGTTTTCCCTTGCTGGGGCATCTGATTCTTTCTATTTTTTGTTAATCAAGACCCACACCTGCTGTCAACGCTCTTACTTATAGAAGTTATTTATAAAATAGTTGTTCCTTGATTTTCTTATGGGGATAAAGTGAAGATCCAAATAACAATTATATATGAGATTGTGTTCAGTTCAATGCAACGAATTTTTATAATGTACTTACTGAACATTAGAAGTTGTGCTAGAGTCTATAAATAAAAACATCTGGCCGGGTGCGGTGGCTCATGCCTGTAATCCCAGCGCTTTGGGAAGCCGAGGCAGGCAGATCACTTGAGGTCAGGAGTTCGTGACCAGCCTGGCTAACATGGTGAAACCCCATCTCTACTAGGAAAAAAAAAAAAATATATATATAAATTAGCTAGTGTAGTGGTGGGTGCCTGTAATCCCAGCTACTCAGGAGGCTGAGGTACAAGAATCGCTTGAACCCAGGAGGCGGAGGTTGCAGTGAGCCGAGATTGCACTGTTGCATTCCAGCCTGGGTGACAGAGTGAGACCTTGTCTCAAAAAACAAAGAAATAAAAATAAAACATTTATAAACTGTGAAAAGTAATACTGTATACATACAAGGTATTATTTATTTGAGATGGGGTCTCTCTGTGTTGCCCAGGCTGAATTTGTGCTCTGTGCAACTGCCTCAGTCTCCTGTGTAGCTGGGACTATAGGCATGTGCCACCATGCCTGGATAAGGTGTGACTTTTGACTTAATATAAATCATATAAGAGTTATAACAGTAATAATTCCTTACATTTCCTATATGAGAAACTGAAGCTCATATATGAGAAACTGAAGCTCAGAGAGGTTAAATGGTTTGCCTGAGGTCACACTCTAAGTGATTCTTAATATTCTCTTCGCTACTCCCACTGCCTTTCCAGGAAATTATACAGCAGGGATTCCACCTTATTTATCTGAGAGGAATATCTTACATCTCACATGGTTTGGAGGAGTCTCCTTGAATAGCAAGTGAAATTATACTCCCCAAAGCAATTTGCTCCATGATTTTCAGATTTCATAATTTGTGTAGCTACAAGTTTAGGCACTTTCGTATACGTTATTTCATTCATCCTCACAACAACCCTAAGGGTACACAACTAGTGAATGGGAGAGCCAGGACTGGAACCTGGATATTCCTAATGTCCGAGCCCTATTTATTTAACTATACTATGCGTCTTTGGCTATTAGTTGTATAACCTTGGGCAAATCACTAAGCCTCTGTGACCCTGCATGACCTCATTTGTAAAGTGAGTATGATGATTATTTCCTTTTAGAATTGTGAAGCTCAAATGTGCTAATATAAAGTAGAAAACACCAGTAGAAACATCGGTTGTGGTTATGGCTGATAAATGTACCAAAGTGAAGTAATGTAAAACAGTATCTCTTATTCTCTCTTCAGTTAAAGAGATTAACAGCAAAAAAGAAGCCAAGGAAGATGCTCTTGAATAAGTGGTTACTCACCAGACCTATACGGCTTGCTTTTGTTAGCTGGCCTTTGCCAGAAGGGGTCTGAGTATAATTAGGAGTTCCTGGGGAAATTTCTGGAATGGTTTGCTTGTGGCGCCAATAGTCTAAAAACTTAGGTGGGGCTAACTCCATCCTGGGTCTTGTTCGGTTGTCCCTCCTACCACGGGGACTGCTATGATAATGGTAATGGGTGTAGGCCTGATAGAGTTGTGGTTTGTTGTCATGGGAAGCCAATGTAACTAAGAAATTTAGACCAATTCGGGCAAATACGTTTATTGAGGTCTCTGTGGTAGGCTCAACTATGAGGGAGAGATAGTAGTGAGTCAGCCCCTTGTCCTCAAGGATTTTACAGTGCAGTGAAGTGGAGACAAGCCCTCAACTAACGCTTACAAATAAGGCAGAGTATAAAAAAGGTCACATCAGAACAACTTAGAGGTGGGGGGTGTGGAGTTCCTAGAAGGCGTCTTGAAGTAGGTGGTATATACTCTGAGCCTTTGAAGATGAATTTCAAGTAACTGGGTATTCCAACTGAAGACTGGCAGCATCAGAAGGTGTAGGATGTGTTATGTTTAATATAGGCAGGAACGAAGGCCTTTACTGAGCACATACTGTAATGCTAGGGTCTGACGATATAGAAATACATTGAAAACAGTTCTTGCCATTGAGGAGCTCTTAATCTAGAGGGATAGATAGGTGTAAACTGACATTAGGGTGATGACTTCACAAGGTAGAGAAGAAAGGTTATAAAGGAGAGTGTGTAACTTTGACATGAGGAGGAGAAAAAGATACTTTGCAAAGGAAGTAATACTTGAATTATGCCCTGAGAAAGAAGGAGGAGTTTGCCAAGTGGACAATGAGAGAAGCTAGGAGCGCTACAGGCACCAGCGTTCCCTTGTTAAACAATCTAAGTGTGACAGGCACCGGGCAAATACATTTTTGCTTCCCCTTTCCAAATGGATTTTGGCTGTGGGAAGGAATGACTTAATGTCTTTTTCAATATACTAGCAGATGGTTAAATAAAGGTTTTACAGTCAGATTTGGATCCTAATTCAGCTATATAATTAGCTATATGACCTTAGTAAGACACTTGTGTTTCAGTTTCTTCATTCATACAATTCAAAAAATAAGAGTCTAGTACAGAGCCTGGCATATATAAAGTGCCATTATTATTTTCTATCATTATCTCATTTAGTCCTTGTAAGCAACTTGGCCTCTGGTTATAATTTCCCCCATTTTTCAGAAGCAGGAGCTCAGCGTAGGTAGGTGGCCTGTCTGAAGTTCACAGGCCAATCTGGAGTCGCCTCCGCAGCCCGTCCGCTTTAATTTTATGTCCGCCCCGGGTTTTCCCAGGCGACCCCGGGGCAGGCTCTGGTCCAGCGGCTGAAACTCCGGTGCCAGGGTTTGGGCGGCGCCGCGGCCTGCTCCGGCGGGCGGGCAGGCGGGCGGGGCCAGGCGGGGCGGGGCGGGCGTGAGGAGGGAAGTTGTGGAAGTTAGGGGAGACGCCCGCCCCGGCCTCGCCTACGGCCGCTCCCTCCGCCTCCTCCCCGCCCCGAGCCCCAGTCAGCCCGTCCTTCCTTCCCTTCCCTTGCATGATGGAAACACCATGGCTGCGGCGGCCCAGCTTTCTCTGACACAGGTAACGCCACACGCCCGTCCGCTGGGCTCGGCCGGCCGGTGCCCCCTCCCCCACCGCCCTCAGCTTCGTCGACCGGGGCAGCTTCTCGGCTTGTGGGCCGGGCGGCCGGTGTGTGTGAGGGAAAGCGGGTGCGACTGCGGGAGGCGCCCTCCGGAGCCGGAGCCCCGCTGCGGCCGCCGCGACCTCGCCCAGGGTCGTCGGGCGCCCCCTGCCCCGCCCCGCGCGGCCCTCGCCACCCTCGGCGCCGCCGCCGAGTGGACTATGACCCGGCCGCGCTCTGCCGGTGCCGGGCTGGTTCGCGGGGGGCAGCTTTCACCCACCCAGGAAGTTTCCTCCCACCGGGCCGCACGCACCCCAGGTGAGCTCCTGTTGAGCTGGCGCGGGCCGGCCGCACCCCCGGGCCGCACGAGGCTTGCTCGCTGGGCCGGCTGCGCGCCGCCCCCACTTGGAGTTGCCTTCCAGAGCCGGACGCCCAGGTCCCCTAAGCCAGTCTTTCCTCTCCAGACCTGCCTTTCCCCCAGAGTCCGACGGAAACCCTCCCCAGCAATTTAATGTAGTTAGCTTCGCCTCCAAAGAAGTCTCATCCTACTCAACTACCTACTCTGCCAGCCCCTTCCTCCGTTCAGCCTCTCCCCCTCCTCATCAGGTTTCCTTCTGGGTCAGACCCCCGATGCCGCCTTTCCTACCCACGTCTACTTCCACTTCCACTTCCACTTCCCCTCGGGGGGCTCCCGCCTGATCGCTGTCCCAGTGGATCCCTTTAATGGGTGTGGTGGCTCCGCCAGTCTTGGTGCCAGGAACGGCCGCCCGGGGAGCACTTCTCCTGGGGGAATCCTCAGCAAAACGTGTTGTCGAGCTTCCCTCTTGCCTCGTTGCTTCCTGTCAAAGTCCAGTCCTTGTGCTCCTCAGAAAACCTCTAAACATCACTCACGCTGGGAACCTGGTCCCTCCCTCTCTGTAAAGAAGCCAATTACAATGTAAACATGGTGTCCGGGATGATAAAGTGACAGACACCTGACAGCCCTTTCCTGCTGCTCTGACCCAAACTCGCCCCCACGTCTCCTCCTCAGAAGGTTCTCTCCAGGGCTGGTGGCGCGTGCTTCCCGATTGGGGCCCACCCCGTCTTTCTTGCCTGCATTGTGGTATCTCCCTGCCATCTTGTACTCTCCTTGGCCTAGATTCGTCGGTGCTTCTAAGGCTTTAGCGCTGGGATAGGGGCAAACATTTCGGCAGTGGAGTTTTCTGTGTTTAAAATCAAGAGGCTTTGGGGTGCTTTGCCTAGCACTAGGATAGAGAGAAAAAAATGTTTTCTCAGGAACCGGGAGTCACGTACATGCTTCATGTAAAATAACTAACTCGTGTTTGCAGAATTCTAAGTGTCATAAGGGAAGTCTGTTTCCCAGTTTATTTGGTGGTGGTGGTGTTTGTCATGTCCTGCCAAGCAGATAACAAGGGGGGAAGAACCCTTTAACATGGAATGTGGTGGTTTAATCTTGGCTATGTATGTTTGGAAGGGTCCTCCTAAAACTCCAATTTGAACAACGACAGCACTGACTTTTAGGTATTCATTTTCTGAGAGTGTAGTTAGTGACTTGCATTAAACAAGATCCCTGTTGGCAGGCTGTTGTTTTCTGGCTCTGTTGGCCAATTCTGGCAGGAGTTTTGCCTTCTTGAAGGTTTTGTGCTCTTGAAGACTTCCGTAAAATTGCATCTCAGTTGTGTACATACTTTATTCTCTCCCTGGGTAATACCATGTTTTTAGCTTCTATTTACTATCATTCATCTCTGCAGAATTGCTTCAGGCTCTGTCAGTTTTATAGCCATTTAAAAAATTTACATATGTTCTTGGGTTATATTTTTAGGTATTAATGTGTACACAGTAAGAACGGAGTCAGTAGTAGCTATTATCCTTCAGTGCCTCACACATGAGAGAATATACATTGGTGGTTAATTTTTATTGATAATTCAAATAAGTAAATTCAGAATATTCTGATTTTAAAACATGAAGAGGCAATAAGAGGAATTACAAAGGCACAGGAAAAAAAATAACATTTCTAGCCGCTAGTATACCCCAGTGTGCCTCCTTATTATTTCAAAACTTTGCAGATTTGTGGTTTTTAAATTTAATTTTAATTTTTTATAACTGCCTGAGCCCAATACACTAAGTAACAATGCAGCCTGGTTTCACATTCATTATTGACCCATTTGTCATCCTCTGTTCCCCCCCACCCCGCCCACCCTCCCAGCACACACATTTAGACATAGGTATACTCAAGTGAGAGATCATTCAGGGCAGGGACATCTTTTAATCCATCTTCTCCCATAGTACCTAGCTGGAAGAAAGTAATTAATAACTGTTGTAGGAATGACTGAAAGCTCTAAAGGGTTCTGTAACAGTTATGGAGATTAAACATGCTCAAGTTAGTTTCTGCTTCTGTTCATATGATGGTGATTTTCATACAGCAAATATTTTTAAAGTACCTATTATGTACTAGACACTATACTGGGATTATCTTGTTTATAATTTCTTGCCTTAACCAATTAAGCAAAACTGAGTTTGGGGAAAAAATGTGAAAAATGTTTTAGCTTATGCCTTCCTTCCTTCCTTTTTCCAAGCTTGCCAACCAACCCTTAACTCCCCAGCCACCAGAATAAATTACCTAAATTATTATATTCTCGCTTCTAGAGATGATAGAATACTAGAGTACCAAAATGTTAGTTCCAGTTCTGCTTTGGCAACAGCTAACTGTATGGGTTTGGGTTAAATATCCAGGCCTCAGTTTTCTTGACTTTAAAATAGACTCAACAAATATTTGCTGAGCATTTACTATGTGCTAGGAATTACTCTAGGTACTGAGGATATATATACTCATGAACAAAAGTAGTTAACAATTCTTTGACCTTGGAGACAAAACCTGGAACTTATTTCTACTAGAGGAGTTTGAATTAGTTGATCTAAGGACCTTTCCAACTCTTAAGATCCCATTTTATAGACAGTGTTCTATGATTTATAGACCTAGTGGACTTTCTCTGGGTTCTTTAGTGCTTTACAGCCTTAATGTTTTCTAATTCAGTTGTCTTTTCTAGTTGTTCTGTTTACTTCTTGTCAGTGAGAAGTAAAACCTGAAGGAGAATGATCTTGATTTTTGCTTCTGTTGTTAGATTAGAAAAAAAGCATGTAATACTTCTAAAAAACATTTCCAATAGTCAATTTTACTCCCTAATGCCCATATCCCTAGTAATAATAATACTGTTAACTTCCCTTTGGGTATTACTATATGCCAGGAATTTTACTACACTTAGAATCTAACAATATGTTTTACAAATTAGAGGAGCTAGTAAGTAAGCTAGTGAGTGGTGGATCTAAGATTTGAACTAAGGTCTATAGGACTTCAAAAGCTGTCTATTTCACTGTACTTCTCTATGTACTATATGCTTGGTGTATCCAACGCTCCCTTGTATTTTTTATTCTTTTTTGTCAGCATATGCCATTGTCTTAAGTAGTAAGCCTCTTGAGGATATAAGACATGGTTTTTGCCCCTGAATCTCTAGTGCCTTTAATAGTATCTTGATGATACAATTGTGTGTTCAAAGTTAGTGCTATTGATGATAAAGGTTTTATTTTACTGAGATAGGATTTGAATATTTAAAATAGTCTTTTAGCAATTCAGCTTTATACTGGTTTTCTTGCTTTAGTTTAGCAAGGATTTTTTTTTTTTTTTTTTGAGACAGAATCACACTTTGTCACCCAGGCTGGAGTACAGTGGCATGATCTGGCTCACTGCATCCTGCAACCTGTGTTGAGGATGCAGAGTGAGGCTCAAGGGATCCTCCCATTTCAGCCTCCTGTGTAGCTGGGACTACAAACATGCATCGCCATGCCCAGCTAATTTCTACAATTTTTTTGTAGAGACAGGGACTCCCTATGTGGTAGATTCTTTTTTTTTTTTTTTTAAGTAATAAAAAAGCCCTTAAGTAGGGACTTAATTTTAAAAATCCTGATATATAAATGGTATAAAAACAGTTTTAATGCTTTTTTTGTTAAATTACAAGAGTGATATAACTATTACAGAAAACTTGGAAATTAAAGGAAAACATCTCCCATAATTTCACAGTTTGTAGTGTTTATTTTCAGTTTCATTTTTTAAACAAGTATACAGTGTGTGCTAATAAACATATCATCTTAGTAGTCTGATTTAACAATTATGACAGTAAATACAGGTTAGTTTGAAAATTACAACATGTTCTCAGAAGCAGAAAAGTGATATTGTTCTCAACATGACAGATATTTGAGTTCCTACAATGGGAAAGGCATATTAATGATGTTTTTCTTTTTTGCCTATAATTATGGTTCCACATACTCAGGAAATCTGTTCTTCTTTGGGAGAGATATCTAACCCTTCTCAAGGATGGCTTGAAATGTTCAGCACTTGTGAGGGGTTGTCATAGTTAAAATTAATTAGGAACGGTTAGGTTTATCCAATAGTGAGTCTCTCAGGAATAATCTAAGAGTGCATTCCTTTGTTTTCACTCTATTTGCAGAAAGAATTCTAGTAACAGACTAAGGTATGGTAGAAAAAGATTGAGTATCATTAGCAATGAATTGTAGTTCAGAATCTCTGCAATCTCTAATAGTGTGATTTTAAAGGCCCAATCTAAGGTATTTTACTTGTTCTTCAGGGAATTACAAAAAGCACTTTATACACTTGTTTGTGAGTTTGGGGCCTAATAAAATTGGGAGCAGAAAATATAACTGTTGGGTACTGGGCTTAATACCTGTGACACAAGTCCACTGATGTAACAAACCTTCACATGTACCCTTGAACCTAAAACGAAAGTTTAAAAAAAAAAATCAGAACTCTGGAAGCCAAAACCAAGTAAATGGCCTGAGAGAGGTCTGGTTAGTTGGAGAATTGATAGAAATTATAAATGAAAAGTTAATCCAGGCAGAGTTCATTAGGCAAACTCATATGCTGAAGTTTCATTTTTAAAGCAGTTGA